AGTAGAGGAAAAGTAGAAATATTTTGTTATTATAAGATATTTGTACTACCTGTGAAGTAGGATAATATTATTTGAATGTGAACTTCAATTAGTTGTAAATGTATACTGCAAACTCTAGGGCAACCACTACAACAAATAAAAAAGATGAATTGTCATGCTAAGAAAAGAGAGAAACTAGAATCATATTATATGCTCATTTAAAACCACAAAAAGCAGTAAAAAATGTGGAAGACAAAAATAGGGACAAAGAGCAAGGCAACAAATAGAAAATAGTAACAAATATGACCCGCTCAGGGCAATATAAGCCAAGCAGAGGGAAGCGATCACTCACATCAAAGCGGCCGATCCTTGTGGAGGTGTGACTAGCCCGGATCATCTCTGTCAGCGCCCACATCTGCTGCACCTTGGAGGATACCCTGCTGGGGTCTGGGAGACCCTGCTCCAGAAGGAGGGGTCAGTGGCCATGGGTCTCTCCCCAGCACTGCCCTTAGGGTTCCAGGGAGGCCAAGCTGGGCTAGGGACCCACGAGCTGAGACCAATAACATTTCCAAATGACTTGTGAAACATGAGATTGGGGCCTGCTGTTCAGTAGGCAGCCCAGCCCCATACCACAGATGCCTCAAATCCCATAGAGCACTCAAGAGGAAGATGGCACAGAGTAAACCAAAGGCCCTGGGTCCAGCCCCCAGATTCTTACAGAAAAGGGCCCACCTGGGCCTGTGCTGGACACCAGAACCATTCACATGTGGTTCTTACCCAGGGAAAGGGCTTACCTCAAGTAGGGGGACAGGTTGCTCACAGGGGACTGGGTGGGAGAGCCACTTGGCAAAGGTCATGGAGGGGCTCTGCAAAGCAAAGGCATACTGCCCTGAGTGAGGCAAAGTAGGAGAGCTCTGGGACCAGATTCCAAGGTCCTGGGAGTAAAGAGAAGGGCCCCAGAGCCTCAGACACTGGGAAAATACTGTTCAGGTAGCTCACAGAAGCCCAAGGCACCTAAGCTCTGTTATGCAGGAGGTCTCACAAACACAAGCAACAGAAGTGTCTCCTGGCACCTAAAAGCTCCAGCTCTGAAAGTAGCTCCAAAAGTCAGGGGATATGGGATAGTCTCACCTCTCATCATGAACTTCCAGCATTCACACTCAGTTAATCTCCATGAAAGGCTCTTTCTGAGTCATACCATCCTTACCCATCACCCACCCCACAAACCCACCTCTCCCAGCCATAGTGGGAACCCCCCTGGGGAAAGGGCCAACCAACAGCTCGGAGTTAGTCACTTACCTTTGGTCCCTGCTGATAAATCTGCAGCTCCTCCACTGTGAAAGACAGCCACAGTGGTGATGGCTGCCAAAGGAAAAAAATATATGTTTAGTTATTAATCCAACTATATCAATAATCACCTTAGCCATCAATAATCTAAATATATCAAATAAAAGACAGAGATTACCAAAGTGGATCAAAAAATAAGATCCAACCATACGTTGTCTATTAGAGCAGGGGATGGGTATATTCACACCTAATGGGCGTGGTGCTCTCTGTCTCGGGGATGGGCACACTTTTAGCTCTGACTTGGACAGTGCAAAGGCAATATATGTAACCTAAATGTCTGTATCCCCGTAATATTCTGAAATAAAAAATAATTAATTAATTAAACAAAAGAAATACATTTTACATATAAAGACACATATAGATTAAAAGTAAATGGAGAAAGATGTACCTTGCTAACACTAATCAAAAGAAAGTGCCAATAGCTATTTATTTTTATTTGAGAATATTACAGGGGTACAAAAGCTTTGGTTACATAAATTGCCTTTGCACCACCCGAGTCAGAGCTAGAAGCATGCCCATCTCCCAGACAGTGCCTACCATACCCGTTAGGTGCAAATTTACCCATCCCTTCCTCTTCCCTCCCACCTGCCTGACACCAGATGAATGTTACTTCCATATGGGCACATAAGCATTGATCAATTAGTACCAACTTAATGGTCAATACATGTGGTGTTTTTTATTTTTATACATAGCAGACTTCAGAGCAAGTAAAGTTTTCATGAGTGAAGGGTGGCATTACATAATCATAAAGGGACCAATAACCCAAGGAATATAACAATCCTTAATATGTATGTGCCTAACCACAGAGCATCAAAATATATGAGGCAAAATGTGATAGAACTACAAAGAGACATAGATGAAGCCACTATTAGAGTTGAAGACTTTAATACCTCTCTATTAGAAATGGACAGATCCAGGAGGCAGAAATCAGTAAAGACACAGTTGAACTAAACAACACAATCAATCAACTGTATATAATTGGCATCTATAGATTACTTCATCCAACACCAGAATAATAACACATTCTTCTCAACCTCTCAGGAAACATTCACCAAGATAGACCATATTCTGGGCCATAAAACATACCTTAACAAATGTAAAAGAATAGAAATCATATAATGTATGCTCTCAGACCACAATGCAATTAAATTAGGAATCAGTAACAAAAAGAAAGCTGGAATATTACAAAATACTTGGAGTTTAAACAACACATGGATCAAAGAAGAAATCTCAAGAGAAATTTCAAAATATTTTGAACTAAACAAAAATGAAAATACAACTTATCAAAATTTATGGAATGGCATGAAAGCAGTGCTTAGAAATGTGTGGCATCAAATGCATACATTCGAAAAGAAGAAAGATCTAAAGTCAATAATCTAAGATTCTACCTTAGTAAACTAGAAAATAAGAGCATATTAAATCCAAAGTAAGCAGAAGAAAAGAAATAATAAAAATTAGAGCAGAAATAAATAAAATTGGAAACAGGAAATTAATAGATAAAATTCACAAAACAAAAAGCCGGTTCTCTGAAAAGACCAATAAAATCAATAAACCTCTAGCTAGGCTAAGAACAAAACAGAAAAGACACAAATTACTAATATCAGAAATGAAAGAGAGTACATCACTACAGATCTTATGGACAATAAAAGAATAATAAGGGAATTTTATGAACAACTTTATATCCACAAATTTGATGACCTAGATGAAAGGGGACAATTCCTTGTAAGACACGATCTGCCAAAATTCACACAAGAAGGGAAAAGACAATCTGAATAGGACTATATTTATTAAAAATTTAATTAATAATTACTAACCATCCAAAACAGACAACACCCAGTCCAGATTGGTTCACTAGTGAATTTTACCAAACATTTAAAAGAGAAATTATATCAATTTTCTATAATTTGTCCCAGAAGATAAAAGCATAGGTAATACATTCTAACTTATTCTATGAGGCCAGCATTAACCTAATACTAAAATCAGATAAAGGCATTATCAGAAAAGAAAACTACAAACCAATATCTCTCATGAACATAGACACAAAAATCTTCAACAAAATATTAGCAAGTTGAATCCAACAATGTATAAAAAGAGTTATACACCACAACCAAGTGGGATTTATCCCAGGTATGCAAGGTTGGTTTCACATTTGAAAATCAATTAATGTAGTCCATCTCATCAACAGGTTAAAGAAGAAAAATCAAATGGGTATATCAATGGATGCATAAAGATCATTTGACAAAAATCCAACATCCATTCATGATAAAACACTCTTAGCAAACTAGGAATACAGAGAATTCCTCAACTTGATAAAGAACATCTGCAATAAAGCTGCAGCTAACATCTTACTTAATGGTGAGAAACTCAAAGCTTTTCTGCTAAGATCAGGAACGAGACAAGGATGTCTTCTCTCACCACTGCTTTTCAACATCATACTGAAAGTTCTAGTTAATGCAATAAGACAAGAAAAGGAAATAAATGTATACAGATTTCGAAGGAAGAAATAAAATTGACTTTGTTCACAGACAACATGGTCATCTATGTAGAAAATCTGAACCAACCAAAAAAAAACCTGGAACTAATAAGCAAATATACCAATATTGCAAGACACAAGGTTAACATACAAATGTCAGTCACTTTTCTATATACCAACAATGGAGAAATTTGAAATTAAAAATACAGCTAATAGAAGGATAAATTGATCCAACCACTCTGGAAAATTAACATTTGTGCAAAATATAGAATTTCTTATGATAGCACTTTTCACACAAGCCACAAACTAAAAAAAACCAAATGTCCATCAACAATAGAATAAGTAAATTTTGGTATGTTATACAATGGAAAATAGTTTACAGCAATAAAAATAAATGGATTGTAGCAAGAATAAAAAAAATACGTTTCCATTTATACTAACATCCCCAACAAAGAAATACTTACATATGAATTTAACAAAATATGTATAAGATCTATATGAGGAAAACTACAAAACTCTCATGAAAGATATTAAACAAGAATCTTAAAAAATGGAGAGCTATTCCATGTTCATCGATAGGAAGATTTGATATTGTCAGATGTCAGTTCTTCCCAAATTGATCTATAGATTCAATGCAATAGCAGTCAAAATCTCAGCAAGATATGTTGTGGATATTGACAAATTTATTCTAAAGTTTATATAAAGAAGCCATATACTCTGATAGCCTGTCCATATAAACTTTAAAATAGCCAGACCAATATTAAAAGAGAGAAACAAAGTTGGAGAACTGACACTACCCAACTTCAAGAAAGCTACAATAATCAAGACAGCGTGGTCTTGGTGAAAAAGTGGGCAAATAGATCAAATGAACCCAGAATAAACAATAAATAATAAAGAATAGATAAATAAATAAAGAATAAAGAATAGAATAAAGAACCCAGAAATGGACCTACATAAATATAATCACCTAATCTTTGACAAAGGAGCAAAGACAATATGATTGAGAAAAGAGCTTTTTCAACCAATGGTAGTGGAACAACTGTACATCCACATGCTAAAAAAATGAATTTAGACACATACATTATACCCTTCCCAAAAATTAACTCAAATGGATCATAGACCTAAATGTAAAATGCAAAGCTATAAAATTTCTAGAAGGTAACATAAAAGAAAAACTAGACGACCTTAGGTATAGTGGCAACTTTTTAGATACAACACCAAAGGTGTGATCCAGAAAGAAAAAAATTAATATGCTTCATTAAAATTAAACACTTATGCTCTGCAAAAGACAATGTCAAGAGAATGAAAAGACAAACTACAGACGAGAAGAAGATATTTTCATAAAACACATCTGATACAGGAGTTATCCAAAATATATTATACAAAGAACTCTTAAAATCCAATAATAAAAATAAAAACCTGATTAAAAATGAGTAAAATAGCTGAATAGATACCTCATCAATGAAGATATACAGATGGCAAGTAACCATGTGAAAAGATTTCAACATTATGTCATCAGGAAAATACAAATCACAACGAGATACCACTATGTATTTATTAGAATGATCAAAATCCAAACCACTGACAACACTAAATGCTGTTGAGTGTGTGGAGCAACAGGAGCATTTAACCTTTTCTGTACCATGATAACTTTAGAAATTTTAAAGTTGTCCTTTTACTCAGAGATTTACTTCTTAGCAAGCTGTCCATTTACATCCAATTATATTTCCTTGCTCTGCATGCTAGTTAGCTGCCACTGCATTGCAGACTATCACAAAACTTAGAACCTTGAAATAACAAACACTTACTATTTCAAATTTGCTGTTATAAATCCAGGAGCAGGGTAGTTGGCTGGTTTTGGCTCAGGGTCTCTCACGAGGTTGAAGTCAAGATGTCAGCTAGGGCTGTAGTCTCTAAAGATTTCACAGAAGGCTGAAGGATTCATTTCCAAGCTCACTCCTGTAGATTTTGGCAAGAGGCTAATCTCTCATTAACACATGGGCTGCTGCATAGGGATGCTCATGATATAACTTCTTCAAGAGTGAGTGATCCAAGAGTGAGAGAGCAAGTGAGCCAGAGCATGTCCAAACTGGAGGCCACAGCCATCTATAACCATCACTTCTGCCATACACCATTGGTCACACAAGCCAACCCTGTGGAAAGGGTGAGAATATCAGGAGCTGAGTATCATTGCGGGTCATCTTAAAAGCTGGCCACCACAATCAGTGACTGTGAGTTTAGATGCTTCTGCCCATAGAGTTTTTCATCACCTATTCTCATTTTCTCTTAATATTTTAATCACATTACAATAATGTCTTGATTAATACATATTTCATATGTCATCATTTCTGTTGCAAAAAAATCTTAATCATAATACAAACTGCAACATGCTCAGATGTTCAGATATATACAGGTATATGCAGTTTTCATTATCCAACAAGATAAACTGTGTTTAAGACATGAACTCCTCATGGAAAGCTCACAAATTATTGGTGTGTTCCTATTCTTGCATTGGCTAATAATTATCTAACACTTTAAAATGTTATT